TACAGCCAGATGAGCAACCAAATTACAGGGCAGCAGTAACAGATCGTGACAGCAATGATAGGAGCAAGGTCTACCCGGCAGACAGCTAAGTGTAACGGTAGCGCACCAGTGAAATTCAAATGAGGGGAGGTTGCGTTACGGTATGGGAAGGGCTTACAATACACTTTAGTTTCGGAATAAAACGACAGAGAAAGAAGTTACAATGGTTTGGGGTGAAATGTAGTAAATGCTAGTAAATTGGAATACGATACAAAGCGGCGGTGTTGATCGAAGGAATGTGCGTCAGAGGATAGTATTGACAAAGGCAGTAAACAGTAGCTGGACGAGTGTGTGGTGTGGTGGTAACGTGTGTCGGCCAGAAGGTGGTCTTCGGCTCGAACCGTGGTGGCTTTTGCTCGCAAAACAAGCGATCAGAAAAGTTTTATGCCAATGAGAATGCGCGACCTTATGAATAACCAGCTAGAAATCACAGCATTAAAGGTCTAGTAAATACGCTTACAGAATATATAAATTTCATGAATATAGACGCCGTGGGCTGCACAAAAAAATTGAGTCTAACTGTCGGGAAAGTAAAAGCTGTATGCTACTCATGAGTAGTCTAATGGACACAGGGGAAGAAACATCTAATTACGAGTAGTAATTAACACCCTATTTTGCTTTACTGCTCCCCTGTAGTGTTTCCCGGTCTATTGAAACAAAACTTCAAAACTGTCCGTCGTGGATTAACGATAATAAGCCATGCATCTTTCATTTNCTTTCATTTCTGCGGAGTCTATAATCGTAGAACTTATTAATGGTCATATGAAGTCTTGCATTACCTATTCCAATAAGATTCTAAACAACCCCTCCCATCCTTTGCATCTTAACTTATCTTCTTGTCGCTCCCACTCGATCATTCCTCTTATCAGTACCTACCCTCGTGAATAAACATTTATAAAAACTCCACTGTACCGTATCTGGCTCGAATCTTGACCAACAAGGAACGAATTATAAATAAATTACGTCAATCTTTAATTGAATGAATCGACCTTCGGAGACATTTTCTGCACAGCACACCATTGGATCTGTCCATACTTCTATATTTGATCCGTTGTGGCGACCAGTGTACAATTTTTAACTGAAATGTAAGCATACCCCAGCTTGCGAAAGTTATACTAATACAATCTTTGAATCTTTGACAAATACAATAGAGATCAGGAGTCTCGGTCGAATTCGAATCTGCGCCTGGCGGGGCTCACACTTTTGCATCGTGTGTGCTCTACTAGCCGAACTATGAGATCAAACCAAAAGCTCTAACTATTTTTACCCAACTTGAAGAAAAACAACTAATAGTTCAGCTATTAACCTCAATGTGTTTCCCCCAGAATTAACTGGAACTGAACCAGATAAGTAAGTGGAATGGGTAATTAAATGTGAAGATAACAGAGTTCTCGGTCTGTCCTCGTGGCTCAGCTGGTAATGGCACACACCATATCTGTTAATCTTAGCTCTCCAGCAGACTCAGAGCTCACTGAAGGATTGGCTGATAAAGGTCATTCTATTTCCTATTCATCTTCCTCGTCAAATGTGGTATCTGTGGTTGATCCATTAAAGGTCGGTTTCGCTGTAGCACATACCTCTAATGAAATGATTGACTTGTGAATAACGACATTAGTCAAGGAATTTTAGGAAGTCGACCCCGGTTATTGACACAAGCCTTATGTCTCTCGCTGACTGTGGTTTCTAGTGCGTAATTGTAAACAACTGAAACTGGAAATGATAGTAGTAGTCCGCGAACGCCACCCGGTCAAGCTGAATTGTGGAGTGATTAGAATCATAAACAGTTCTCAATCGCTTCATACTTCATGGAGTCAAATCACGTGGTTAATTTGACTGAGGCGTTCCGACCCATCTACTTCGTTCACAGCCGTCGATTTGGCCACATTTTGGGCACAGCGGAAGCAATCGGAATCCGCCTACATAATTCCCGTCCCCCGCCTCTGCTCCCAAAAAACAATTCGTAAGAGCACNGGTCTTCCATGACCAATACCATACACGACACAGTCATTCCCCCACCCACCCCTCCAAAATCCTCAGTATGGTTGGAGATGGGTGTCTAGGGTTGCGGCTGGTCACCAGTCCCTTGCACATCGCGAAATTCTCCCATACGACCTTGCGTCTCAAACGACCTCTGCCGAGGAAGTCCAACTCACTGCCTTCTCGTGGTAGAGGTGTTTTTTTCACCAAAGTGAGAGAACTAAAAGCCGACATCCGGGGCTATAACCGGGTTGGTGAAACACTGGCAGTTCACCTAGGGGATTTGGCCAAAATCCCTGATTCCAAACCAACCGAGAGGAGGCGTACGAACCACACACGTTTTCGGTTGTGGCAGTGGCCACCGGCTCAATTGGTCATCGAGGTGTATTGGGCACCTCGGACGTTTGACCCCGTCCAAAAGGCGTATGATCCGATGAACTGGAAACCGGCCCCCTAATGGATTGCAGTTTTCGCACACCGCCCCGCTGCCTTGTGGGTCAGACTTTGACTAACTCCGGTTGTGAAATATTATTGTACCACAATTTGTTTGGCACACAGTCTGGCATCAGACGTGTGATATATATATATATATATATACCTAATGACTCGAACCATGCGTATGTGTAATGACCAAAGTGTGAGCAGCATATCCGGTCATGGAGCTGCAATGTTGATCATTTCTCTTCTCATTCTGTCATGTTTTCTCCCCCCTCCCTCCTAATAATTTTGTGACATAAATTGTGATGTATTAATCTGTAGATGAAGCACCACAAACGAAACTGTTCATTACTGTGTGTTCTATCAAAATTAGTGCAGTTAGTAAATTTGGAGTTGAAGTGAAGAAGCTACACGTCAATCCCCAACTAATTGGTGTCACTTTTTGCTCGTTGCCACATCATCATCATCATCATCATCATCATCATCATCATCCGTTCAGCCTCATATGCTCAAAGAACTGGGTCGATTAGAAGAATCAATCAAACTGCTTGTGGATGTTGCTTCTACGATCCGTACTCGTCGTGTTGCTCGTGGTGGTTTGGAATTAGACAGTATCGAAATCAGTGTGCGTTTTGCCGATCCGGAAACGCGATCTGGCAAGTTGGAAGATCTTGTCCCGAAAGAGGTGAGTATGCTTTGCTACTCTACTTGTCGAATAATCAACGCGGTGTGTGGTTTGGTCTTCCGCACTCAATACTGTTCCCGGTCTGTATCTGTGTTTCACTGTATTTTCTTTTTTGTTTCTTGTTTAAATGCTTTGTCACTCTATCCCATCGTCTGACAATTTTCATGTGCAACACACTCGGAAAGTAGCTTTAAATTTCGTTTTATTTTACTTCCACTCATTTATTCCAGTTCGCATAACCTTTAGAACTAGATAATAGTATCCCGTTTCCACTTGCTCTATTTATCAGTTCAAGTAAGTGCAAATAAGAAAAACCGAGAGTTTCCATAAAATAAAATTTGGGGTTATCAAATACCAGGTTACGACCATTCCTTAACTCTTTTAAGATGTTCGCTACCGCCTTTGACCATTCTATTGGTCGAGATTCTCGTGCCGTTTCACCGGGTTCTAAATTGACCACTTTGTCTGTTCAGTAAACTGTTCCCGCATGACAAGCATCAAAACGTCTGAGCTTTGCATATCCTTTGACAGATCCTGGCATTTCATCTGTTTATAGTCTTCATCATCAGTGTATAATTTTTTTAATTACAGTGTTCAGATCTCGACGAGCTATCTTTTCCCAGCGATACATTGCCTGATCTTTGTTGTTAACCGCATATAAATCGCTTCTAGATTCACGGCTCACAATGACCACAGTCAAGCACCAATTCTATTATTGGATTTCATACTCACGCGGTGATTCGCGGATAGAGGTTCGGTATCACTGGGGATTCGGACTGTGCAACTACAAAAACCGACATTTTCAACCACCTCCCAAGATGATTCACCCTATCCGATTGGTTTAGCCAAAGGCACATGGCACACCTCTTCTTGGTTGCACTGTTCCTGTTCCTGGCGCCATCGCGACATCCGGCTGTCTTTCAAGGGCCGAATATATGTTGCAGCAGTTCGACCAGCGCTGATCTACGGTGCAGAGACTTGGCCAGTACGGGAATAGGATAAAAATAGATTGTCGATGTTTGAACACCGCTGTCCACATCGCATTGCACGAGTCTGGTAGGGTAACCGGACGAGCAATGTTGAGGTTAGGTGTAGAGATTTCGGTAATCGTAGTCGTCCACCTTCATAGACTGCGCTGGTTGGGACATGTGCTGCACATGTCACCAGATAGGTTGTCATGGTGATCGATGTTTACCAAGGCAGGTGGTGGTTGGTTAAAAGAGCAAGGTTGGTCAAACTAAGACCTGGCACGAGGGTATGACAACTTTAACCAGGAGACTTGATCACATAGGTCCCGTTAGACTCCCTAACTGGGGACCCCAAGATCATGGCAATCGATGGTTAGAGACACTGAGCGAAATGGCTGGATGTTGCAAATAGTGGTGCTCATGCATCTACTCATTATTCTTGTAACTTCAGTCTATATAAATTCGCTATCTCCCGCTTTAATTTGCTTCCAATATTCCAATCTTCATTCTGCTGTTGCATCCAAATGGGCAACCTAAAGACAGCAACCAAAACCGGCGCACGAAAGTGCATGGCTAATGGTTGTAAAAACTGAAACTGAACTGTTCGGTTGAACCGAGTGACATATCGATCGATAACTGTATTTGGAGTTCTCTCAATAATGTCATTTTGATAAGCTGTAGCGTGTACACCGAGCTGTAGTAGTCGCCGTCCCGTTTGTTGTGGATTGCCTTGAACAGTTTTCCAGGTGATACTTCCCCACGCGGCATCTGCGTGCCTGTTCTGATTGAATGATCGCTGTCCTCCCTTCTCGTTACTTTCCACCACAAAATGCCGAAATATAACTTGTGGTTTCAACGATGGGGATCCGCCTGCACTTTTCATCATAAATCTACTAGAATTACAATCAATGCGGATTGATGAATCCCACATTAAATTGATTTTACTTGTGCTTTGTGAAATCACCTTTCCTACTGTTGTGGACTGATCATCTATCACTAGGGTAATCTTCGATTTAGTGATAAACTTTATTCCGGCCTCTGTTTGTTTGACATGCGTCTGCTCGAATTCTGTATAGATAGACGGTAACCATGACCGTGGCACGACGGTACAACGTTGATAAATGGTTATTCTACCCGAAGCTAACTTGAACACACAAAAGAACAAAGTTCTCGAAAAGGGGGACTGTGTTCAGCCATAAATTGAAACTGGCCAAGTAAGAAAATGGTGTTGTTGGCAGTGACAAGGTTCGAGCAAAAATCGTGATATTGCCCATCGGCTACCCACACCGTTCGACCACTTCCGCCACAGATTGATCGAATGTCTACCGTAAATCTTCACGATCTGTGCTTGTTAAAAAGCACTTGGAAATCATAGGGATAATGGTTCTGATTTCCGACTCCCATAATACCATTGACTGTACACTTACTTATGTCCTCTGTCCGAAATCCAGAACTGACCAGTGAATCGTTTGCTTCTAACGCCGGTTACCGATATCGCTAACTGTGTCTATCGCCCATCAATGTGATTCCCTTGTTTTTATTTTTCAGCCGTTGGAAATGCATAGCACCGTCGCGGAGCTGATGATTTTTGCCAACCATTGGGTCGCTCGACGCTGTTTGGAATCTTATCCGGAACGTTCGTGTCTACGTCGTCATCCACCACCACGTCCGGAATTTTTCGACGAGTTGCAGCGTTGTGCCGCCTCCCGCGGTCTTCGTGTGGATATTGAGTCCAATTGTTCCCTGGGGCAGTCTCTTGCAGCCGCGGATGATCCTAATGATCCGGAGGTTAGTTGTGATTTTTTTTGGTCATCACCGCTTCTAGTCGTTCTGACCAGTAGTTAGTTCTTTTTCTAACCGTCACTCGTTCTGTCGAAAGTGGATCTGTATGTGCCCACAATAATCACCGTGTAGCGATCTCTCTATGCCACAGAACGCGATCCACACTTCACTTGCAATCAAAATAGTAGCGGGGGAATTTACTACGCAATTCTACTACTAGCCCGTTCTTCTGTATCCGTAGATCAGCTGGAGATGTATGAAAACCGTTGTCAAGTCAATTAATCAGTTAGATGATCTAGACGTGGCTAATACATTCTGGATGCACAGTGCGCCCTAAATAGAACAAAAACCTCTGATCATGGTGATCGGAATGCTCTGGGAGCAGTTCGTGCCGCCCTCATTTGGTTAGTTTGAAATCAGGTTTTTTTTCGGCTTTTATAGATGCGCTAATCGTCTGTAGCACATCATTTCGAACATGAGTTTTTCGCACTCTCGCTTTGGTACAAAGATCTTCGCCTCTAGAGTCCAATGGATAGGATTTCCCTGTACAGATACTGTGGGAGACGCACATGTGGGTAGATCCTGAGGGTAAGAACAAAGCCTCGCTCAACTTCCAAACGACTGGATCTTTTTGAGGATTGTTCAACGGCTCGATGATGATGATGATGATGGTGGTGGTGGTGG